ACTGTATAGTTTAAATTTATGTGTGTGACCTAATGTTTTTGTAAACAGCCAAAGCCACTTTCATTTTAACGTGTTTACCCTGTAACCATGTGGAAGAATAGGAATTATAGTAATAAATTTTTGTTGCTTTTATCTCAAATTTTTCTTTCAAAATTTGGCACATTTTTCACTGTTGACATGTGTACATGTACACACGTAGCTCCAAAATTTAGTGATTAGAATTAGCTTAAACATTTTACACAGCATGAGAATACAATGTACATGTACATTACATGTATTTAGTACAAATTTGACATGTTTATGTATTAAAATTAGTAATGCATATTTTTGGAGTCTATTTTGTCAATAAACTACAAAATATTAAATTGAATTACACTGTCTCTCTCAGAGGTTCCCTGTCATGGACTGGTGATATATTATGTAGTGGGTCAATATTACAGTGGGATCCACGTCTATCAGGAGACTATTAGACCACACCCAGGAGGTCTGTGGGATTCACTGGTCACCAAATCATCAGCAACTGGTGTCAGGAGGAAATGATAATATAGTGAGTTTATGATTTTATTTTTTAATTTTATATTGGGTTCTGAATCAGTTCCACATTTTTATTACATTTTCTGATACATATTGACGTCTTTATGCTTTTTAGAAAATATTAATTGTTTCTGACAGCTTATTTTCGAGTTACATGTATGAGCATTTTTAGAAAAAGGCCAGTTGTTGAAAAATACCCAATGTATGTAGCCCATGCTTTTTTGTAAAAAATGGCTCCAAAATCACCCCTAATTTTTATTACATTTCCTGATATATATTGATGTCCCGATGCTGTGTAGAAAATTTGAACTGTTTCCGACAAATAATTTTCAAGTTATTAGCATTTTAGAAATAGGCCAATTTTTGATAAATACCCAAGCTTCTTCCAAAAAATAGCTCCAAAATCACCCCAAATTTATATTACATTTTCTGATACATACTGTATAGCTTGAAATTTTCGTGGAATGTAAATTTGGTAATTTTCGTGGTTATGGGCTGCTCACAAAATTCAAGCCCACGAAATCATTGAAGTGCCATCCCCTTACAGGCTATGTAAACTGTCAACCACGAAAATTAAACCACGAATTGCCCCACTAGGAGCAAACCACGAAAATATCAACCCACAAAAATATCAAGCTATACGGTATTGATGCCCTTATGCTATGTAGAAAATTTGAGCTGATAATTTTCAAGTTATAAGAATTCGAGAATTTCAAAAACTGAGCCAAATTTGAAAAAGCAAAGGCTATGTGCATCCATGTACTGTACATGTACATGTCTACGTGCATTTTCTTTTACTTATTACATGGTACATTGTTTATTGTTATCATTAGGTTATGGTATACTGTTACTGTTCTTACGAGGTACCCAATGTATGCTCCTTTTCATCAAAGAGGGTAAGTCATGTTACTTCTCATGATGTCATTCCATTCTTTCTCTCTTGATCCTCTCTCTCTTCCTCCTTCTACTTTCTATAGAAGAATTACTCTAACAACTAGATCAGTAGCGTCAAGAGTACATAATTTACAGAGAGTGTCTTAAGGCGGATTTACAATATTACGCTAGTCCTGACGTTACGTTGACGCTGGAATAGAATCTGGTTCTATTCCAGCGGAAAGCATGCGTCAAAAGGTCAAATCGCCTACGCTTTTGATTAAAAATTGACGGTACGCTGGCCTAATGTCATATTGTAAATCCGCCTTAACCGTACTATAACAGCTGAAATATGACCGCGTACAACTAGGTCACGTGATAGCAGAAGCCCTACAGATGGAACTGAATGAGTAGAATGAGAATGTAGCCTTCTGCTAATTATCACGTGGGCGGAAGGTGTGGTTTTAATAATTATGACCCAACCCTCCACGTGTTTCCACGTAGGCAGCAAAATGTTTGGAGAAGAGCTCGAAGAAACTTTGTTAGAAAATCCAGATGACGAATGTAGTAGACCTGTTGTTGATTGTCCCAGTACTTCAAGTGTTGGTACACCCAAGCGCCCACAGAAATTAAGGAAGAGGAAAAGAGGACAGGATAGTGCGGCTACTGCTTGTGTAGCTCCCAATGCGGATACCAATCGTTCACGCACCAAAAAGATGCTAAGTAAGAAGGAACGATCAAGTGTTGTTAGTCATATTAAGAAAAGCCCTATTTTGGAACAAGTTAAAATTTATTTTCACAAAAATGAGTGTAACATCTTTCAAGAACTAATTTCTCATGGTGATTTGCTAGTGAAGCTAGTCAATTATCATCAAAATACTTTCATTTCTCTTTATGAATCTAATGCCACTGGAAAGGACAAGTACATTTCATTTCAGCTTGAATGGCACAAGTACTGCAGTGTGTTTTTACTTCCAAGAGAATTACCAACACAACATCTTTTTTCACCACCAACAAATGAAATGGAAACGATTCGCACACTGTGGTTAGATTTCACCATTAACCCACAGATCGTGGAAGATAAATTTAAGAAGTTTATGATGTCATTTTCCTCAGTTGTACGAGATATATTGCTTCAAGAAACGCACCTTTGTTTGAAAGACATTTCTGATACAACAGCTACAGGTCAGGGGACAACACACTCATGTAATAATGATTCTGATGATGTATACTTTCGTTTTGGAGGGGGAACAATTGCCAGCATGTTGAAACAGCGATACAAAGAGATTAGAAGATGTAATGTTGACAAAATGGAACTGTTTTCTATTGAGATAGCAATATTACAGGCAATAAACAATAAGGACAAATCATCTGTTCCTGCCTACTTACAGTATCGAGACAGGGGAAATATGTACATGCCAGACATGACATTCATACCATTCTTCCGTGCTGTGGATGATTGTGTGAAGCAAGTAGTGAATGAAAAAGGTTTTGAAGAACATGGAGAGGAATTTATTAAGGTATAGTTGTTGAAAATAACAATTTCCATGATTAAAATTTTAATGTCTTCTATAGGTTACCCACAGTCATTTAAAAAAGGCCACACACCTGAAAAGCAAGTTTCTACATGAGCTGGGAAGTAAAATGGCAACCAGCAGTGATAAGGAGACGCAAGCTGCCAATAATGTTTATGAAGAAATGGTGACTAAACTGACTAACACGAGAATACAAGAATTCTTATCTTCTTTAAAGCAAAAAACAGCATCTAAGAAAGGTCATGCATCAACAACTGGACAAAATCTACGTGATCAGTTGCTCACACAGCATCTTCAATTACAATCTCGTGTACAGATAAATTAACTATAATTTCAAACTTTATAATGAAGTTAAATATTTTTAATTCTGTTTAAATCATTTGGTTTTATTGTAAACTTTCTTTGCAAGAGGTAGACTGGCAGTTTTCAATTGACCATCCCGATAGTCCTTGCCACTGTGGTGATTTGATGTCACTTGCTTCACTAGACTTACAGCTTGACTATACCCATAGTTTGCAGCATCAAGCTTTCCACCCGCACTGTACTTAAATTGACTGAATAAAGTCTCCACAGCTGATCCTGATACTCGAAGTGGGGATATAAAGTAACCTGGGTGTTTCTGTAGGAAATGTTCACAGAACATGTTAAATCCATAAATGTCTATTCTGAGTAGGTCGAATGCTACAAATTGAAATATACTTGAATTAAATTTTACAGTAAATAAGTACCTACTTTGCCATGCCAAAAACTTAGTTTGTGTGTTAACTTTAAGTTCAAACGTACTGTCTGTGAAGTAGAATAATAATACTGAAAAGAATTAGAATTTTACCTTGTTCCAAAATCTGATCAAGCCATCTTGTAAAAAAATTATAACCTTCATTAATAGATTTTAATGTATCACAATCTGTGCTTGTGATCCTATTGCAGCTCAAAAAACCTTTCTCAAAAATCTTGCTGCATGATTCAAGATAGGATAACACCACTTTAGTTCCATCCTTCTCAGCTTCAACAGGATTGTCATGCACATATGAAAACAACTCAGACAGAACATTTTCTTGCTACAAATTGAATATAGTGACTTGTGAAAGTATTATGACATGAATTATTTTTACCTGCATTATTTTGGCAGGTGTAACATTAAGTTTGGTCCACGCATCTCGTATTATATGGATTTCTTTCAACCTGGGTACCATTCTTGTCACTCCGTTACTGATTCTATCGCACTCTCTAGTATACATCTTCATAATGGAATCCCAACCAAACTTTACATTATTCAAGACAAAAAACTTTGTGCCTCCATTCTTAGATGAAAAGAGGGCATTGATCATATTTTTAAGCTATGTTAGGAAAAATTTCTGTCAATTAGAGTCTTAAACATCATCATTTGTACCTGGTGTGTAGGACATATCAGCCAAAATATTGGATTTGGAGGATTGAATGGGTTTAACATTACGGGAGCAATTTTATATGGATCACTTTCTCCTGTGAAAAGCTATGCAATAAAATCAATAGGAATATCATTACTTACCTTTCACAATTGGGTATACACCAGAGTATCCGTGAGTAGCCTTAATAAGTGAGAGATTACTGGAGGCACCATCACAAACCAATAGAGATGTCGAAAGGCCATGAACTTGAAAGAGCTTTATGGTCTCCATGATACAAGATAATATAAATTTGCTATCCATTGTGCTACTACTTGTGAAGTAGGGGCCTATTATATCATAATCGCTGGTTAAATCCCTCCAAAGAAATTGAAGAATGTAGCTTGTCTGCTCAGTACTGCTGCTGTTAAGTGTCTGGTAGATGTCTGCGAGTGACAGCATTTCATCATGAGTCATGCTTAGACCAATCAAAGACTGGTTTCTCGAGTTCCACATCAAACGATTAATAACTTTCACTTCATCATATATCAATACACCATCCTTCTTTGATTCTGGTTTTGCAAGGGAAACTCTTTGCTGACAGTGCAGTATGAATTGTGCCACCTGTTGCTCAATGCATGTACCGTGTGCTCCAGGTTCATGGAGAAATGCACCAGTATAGCTCTGTAAACTAGAACGACATGGCAACTGTACAATTCCAAAAGATTTTAAGGCATCATAAGCTGCAGGGCTTCTTGTGTATACCGCTAAAGCTATAAATAATAAATTAATAATATAACAGAGAATATATTTTATATGTACTCTTGGTAGCGTTGCTGAGGAAAATGACTGTTGCTATGACAACTGTACATGTGTACATCCATATGAAGAGATACTCAAGAATTTTTACATTTATTCTTTTTTTTATTTTGTCCTAATTGTTAGAAGCAATTGCTCTGATAAAATCAACTATAAGCAAAACAATGACAACAACAACAATAATAATAATAAAGCACAATACTTAAATATTATAATATTTTTGTATTAGCTGATCAGCTAGTTTGATAGTCCTTCTAGTATCTTCCTCTCTGAGTATATCTAAGAATATACCAAATACTTCTCCATCCAGACGAATAGAACTCAAAATGATGTGAAGCAATTCATCCATTCTTTCATCATCACTTTCTTGAGCAACTATTCGTCTTTTCTCTCTTGTGTTTACAATTTTGTGTTCCAACAACTTATCAACTAAGAAATGAATATCAATCCCACAATCCTTTACTAGTGAAGTACATTCTGTCATTACTCTATGAGCAATATCAGATCTAAATGAACCTATTAATGATACAAATTCAGTGATTAGTGTGTTATTATGTTAATATCAACCATACCTTCTTCAGTCTCTCTCCTGGTTTGACTGATACTAGCAGTAGAGGAGCTTGAGCTAGTACTGTTTACTACACAAATAAATAAAATTATAGTTACAGATCATAAACTAACTCATTGATAAAGGAGGAGGTAGTCGGTTGATGTAAATTATTATTGAAGGATCTATTCCAGTTAATTCAAT